TATTCATAAGTATCGTACTGTTCATACGTACGGCACTATTCATGAGTACTATTACTATTCATGCATACTGGGGGTACTATTCATACGTACTGTTATTGTTCATACATACGACACTATTCATAAGTACTGACATTATTCATACGTATGGGTACTATTTATACATACCGTTACTATTCATGCATACGGTACTATTCATATGTACTGTTACTATTCATGAGTACGGATACTAGTCGTAAAGTACCGTTGTTATTAGTAAGTACTGCTACTATTCATAATTAGTTATTATAGCAGATAGTCGGGGTTGGTAACCCTGACCATTTACTGGACAGTTTGGCCCAGTTTTATTTTCTGGAGTTTGTTTGCGCCATTTGTGACGCGATCGTGGAGTTTGAGCCGCTTGATGTTATACTTACAGTCATGAATATGACGAAATACGCATTTGAGTATCCCACGGGGATTATGACGAATTGAGATCTATTTACTTGTGAGTTAGTACACCGCAAATGAGACTGCGATGATACCTATTTGTCGATCCGCACGGTGATGCGATGATACATATATGTCGATCCGCACTATGATGCGATGATACATATTTGTCGATCCGCACTATGATGCGATGATACCTATTTATCGATCCGCACTATGATGCGATGATACCTATTTGTCGATCCGCGCGATGATGCGATGAGTTGGAAGAAGTTCAGAATGATAATATTATAAACTATTTACATGAGTATTTGGCGGATGCCAAAAGTGTTTCTACTCATTGTTGAGATACTTTGCTATACGAGTACACGAGATACATATGCTGATGCTTTACTTTCCAGTTATATTTTGATTGCTTAGTTCAGGGTTAATATTTAGTTATTTACTATTTGAGACATACGGTATATACATGAGGGTTTCCTTGTTTGGATTATTTCGCTCGACGTACTAAGTCTCAAGTTGTAAGTTTCTAAATATTAATTCCATTAGATACAGGAAAAATGATCTAGGTAGACTATGCTTAATAGATAGAGCCTCCACTTCATCATCTAGTAGCCCTTCCCCTGGGGGCGGATGGAGGTGAACTTGCTGTAGCGCTCTGACGCTCTTGTTGTTGTTCTTTTTCTTTTATTTTATTTCTCATTTCAGGCGGCTCAGAGCATCGGAGAGTCGCAGGGTGACGGAGTTCTTGCATAGTCGCCGTCGCGTATTTTTACTAGTATGGACTCCACAGTGATCTTATGTTTCCATTTAGTCATTTGAGTTTGTACTCATATTGTTAAGGCAATATGCCTTAGTACGATTTCTAATCAATTTATGTTGAGACATATCATGTTATTTTAGACTCCAGATGTATATCAGTTGTATTCCAGTTTAGTTTATTTGGGACATGATTTCATTTATGAGATATATCTTTCCGTATCATGTCTATAGTATTTATTTCCCTTATTTGCCTGTTTTGTACCTTCATTTATATTGGTTTCCACTAGAGGATATTACTGTGATTGGTGAAACATGTTGTTGCACAGTGGAGGTGCATGACAGGTTTGACATCTCTGGGTTCACCTTGGACTGCAGCCAAGTGTGAAAACAGGGGCGTCACAATGCTACAATTCAGAAAATTACTTATACGCGTGGACAAGGGGTAGGCTATGAACATAGTAGGAGATCTTATCCTATAGCCATTTTAGGATTTTAAACCCTCGACTGAATACAATTCAACAAGTAACCTTGTACTCTTACAATAGTACAACTAAAAGGTTTGAATCGGGCTAGCCATACTATTCCCCTCAGTATGATGAGTTGTTGAGTAGTTTCTCTTAGACTTGATGCTAAGATTTCTACTCTCAACCTTAGTCGTTCGAGGCGTGGTTTTAAGCGAGGCCATTTCTTTGGCGTTTTAAAGTTCGGGACAGGTCATGTTATTTGTTGTTTATTTCCCAGAGCGGATGAGCCGTTCGGGCGAAGTTAGGTTTTGGAGGTGAAATTCTGTTCGACTTGCGGATTTGGGTCGGACTTTTCGCAGGCGAAACCTTTCTTCTTGGGCGAAACTTGGTTCGATGTGGGTGAGCCACGCGTCCGCTAGTGGGCTTCGTACTTTCCAACTAAGACGGAGTGGTTCTGTCACGTCACGTCCTGACGCAAGCTTCGTGTTCCCCGTTTGAATCGTGGTCGTGGTTTTCGAACCCAACCGTCAGATACAACCGTCGATTTTGGTTCACGTTTGGGGTTTTTTGACCGACCCGTTTCCCGCCTCAACGTGGCACTTCAAAATGCCAGGGGACAATCTGGACCGTTGATTTCGATCGTGGTCATGTTTCCCGTCCGCCAGTATTTCCCTTTTTGAGGGCGATCGTGGCCACGTTGGCAGCTCCTCCGTTAAATAGGCCGTTCTCTTTCTTTGAGAGTTACCGTGCTCAAGAATCTTGAAAGTTTTCCAAAGAGAGAAAGTTCCCGCTTAATCCCCTTAATGGCGCCGAAATCCAAGAAGTGCATCGCGAAGGGAGAAGGTCCCGGGCGCTATTCCGACCGCCTCGCCGCCGGTGCACCCGTCCGCATACCTGAGACACACTTGGG